GGTGGCCATGGACGAAGCCAGAGCATGGCTGTCAACGGCCGCGGAGGCTCCGGTCTCCGTAGCAGTGCTTTCAGTCTCGGCGGTGATGGCGATGGGCGACGCGGTGGTGGTCATGCCCGCTCTGGATCACGAAACTTTGAAGGCAATTGGCGTACTCAGGGGCAGAATCTAGACCAGGCTGGCAATACTGGTCAAACTTCTTCCTTCCAGCCGGGCCATAGGCCTCGTGGCTCTATCAACCAGTCTGTATCGTCAATTGGGGCCTTCCAGTACAACCCCAACCAACCCCAACTTATGCAGCTGCCCGGCCAAATGATGATTCCCCAGATGTACGGGCAGCAACTCAACCCTATCCAGTTGAGCCAGCTGCAGGCCCTGCAGGCTGCTCAGATGAGTGGCCAACAGTTCCAGGGCCTTCAGACTTCGCAACACGCTGGCCAGCTCGGTGGTCAGCAGCAACAGCAGCAGCAACGAAAGACACTCTTTACTCCTTACCTTCCTCAAGCCTCCCTTCCTGCCCTTCTCGGGGATGGACAGCTCGTCGCTGGTATTCTTCGTGTTAACAAGAAAAACCGTAGCGATGCCTACGTGACTACGCAAGATGGCTTGCTAGATGCTGATATATTTATCTGTGGTAGCAAGGATCGGAATCGCGCCTTGGAAGGCGACCTCGTCGCTATCGAGCTTCTGGATGTTGATGAGGTTTGGTCTCAGAAGAAGGAAAAGGAAGAGAAGAAGAAGCGCAAGGATATCACGGATACTCGCTCCGGCTCCACCAACCAGGGTAACCGAGACTCTGGTAATAATGAAGATAACAATGCCGCCGAAGGCGGTATTCGACGACGCGGTAGTTTGCGCCAACGACCCACGCAGAAGAAGAACGATGATGTGGAGGTTGAAGGCCAGAGTTTGCTACTTGTTGAGGAGGAAGAGATTAGCGACGAGCAGAAGCCACTCTACGCTGGCCATGTTGTGGCTGTCATTGAACGTGTTGCTGGACAGATGTTCTCGGGCACCCTCGGCCTGCTACGTCCTAGCAGCCAGGCTACCAAGGAGAAGCAAGAAGCCGAACGCGCTGCCAGAGATGGTGGCAACAATCGCCATAATGATTCACGACAGCAGGAGAAACCCAAGATTGTTTGGTTCAAGCCTACGGACAAGCGGGTACCACTTATTGCTATCCCTACGGAGCAGGCTCCTCGAGACTTCGTCGAGAAGCATCAAGACTACGCCGATCGCATCTTTGTCGCTTGCATCAAGCGTTGGCCCATTACGTCACTACATCCATTCGGCACCCTTGTTGAGCAACTTGGCCGCATGGGTGAACTTAAGGTGGAGACCGATGCCTTGCTTCGTGACAATAATTTCTCCTCTGACGAGTTCTCCGATGCTGTCCTGCGTAGCGTCGGCCTCCAGGATTGGTCTGTGGCCAAGGAGGAAGAATCCGAACTCGCAGCTCGTCGTGACTACAGAAACGAAAAGGTATTTACTGTTGACTTCAACGGTAGTGCCGAACTTGGAAATGCCATCCACGTCAAGTCCCGCCCCGATGGCAAGATTGAAGTTGGTATACATGTACCTGATGTTACTCACTTCGTCAAGCCCAACTCACTTGTCGACCGCGAGGCCAAGAAGCGTGGAACCTCTGTCCAGCTCATCAACCGTTTCTGCGCTCTTCTGCCCCCGAAGCTATCCAGCGAAGTTTGTTCCCTAGGACCTGACCAGGAACGCTTTACCACCTCTGTTGTTTTTAATGTCAACCCTAATAATGGATCAGTTGCGGAGGGAGACAGTTGGGCTGGGAAGAGTATCATCAAAAGTTCGGGCAAGCTTAGCTTGAAAGATATAGATCAGGCTCTGGAGAACTCTTCCGAATTCAAGAATGAGGTCGTCCCTGTCAATACTGTCCAGATCCTCCAGGCTGTCGCCCAAAAGTTCCGCGAGGCACGCCTTGGAGCGGGCGGCGAACCGATTGCTCCTTTGCGACTGTTCCAGCAGCTTGACGACGAGAACAATCCCGTTCAAGACAACATTTTCGACTCAACGCAAGCCTTGGAGCTTGTCGAGGAGCTCATGCACAAAGTCAACAGCTACGTGGCTCAACGCCTTGCTGAGGGTTTGCCTGAAAAGGCTCTTCTCCGCCGCCAGGCCTCCCCCAACCCCCGCCGCCTGCAAACCTTTGTCGATCGCATGAATGCTTTGGGCTATGACATTGACGCCTCTGGGAGTGGTGCTCTTCAGAACAGTCTCTTCAAGGTTGACGACACTGATCTTCGCAAGGGCATGGAAACTGTGGTACTTAAAGCTATGCACCGTGCCAAGTACTTCATTGCGAGCAAGACTCCTAAGCAAATATGGCCACACTACTCTCTTAACCTCCCACTTTACACTCATTTCACAAGCCCAACTCGCCGTTATGCTGATATCATTGTTCACCGTCAGCTCGAGGCTGTTTTATCAGAAGGCAAGATTGAATTTGCTGATGATGTGGAAAGCCTGGCTAAGACTGTTGAGTCATGCAACACTAAGAAGGAGTCTGCCCAGAACGCACAAGACCAGAGCATCCATATCGAGTCATGCCGCACTATGGACAAAAAGCGACAAGAGGCTAACGGAGACCTTATTTCAGAGGGCATTGTTTTGTGCGTGTATGAGTCGGCCTTTGACGTGCTTATTCCCGAATGGGGCTTTGAGAAGCGTGTACACTGCGATCAGCTGCCATTGAAGAAGGCCGAGTTCAGAAAGGAGAAGCGAGTTCTCGAGCTGTACTGGGAGAAGGGCGTGCCTAGTTCTGCCTACGTTCCTGAGGATGAGCGTCCCAAGGCCGCCGCTTCTCAAAGAATGACCAATGCCATGGCCGCCGCCCGTCAGGCAGAGGAAGCCGAGAGAGTCAAGAAGGAGCGCGAGGAAGCGGCGCGCAAGCAGACGATCACTGGCACCATCTCGACTGACGATGTTGATGCTCTGTTTGACGACGACGACGAAGACAACACTTCTGATCTTACAGAAGCCATGGCTGGAGCGTCCCTTGCCGAGCGTCCGACACAGAGCGTGCCAGGATCTCCCGCTCGCTCTGCCTCGAACGCCGGTAAGCTTCACCGGACCCGTTCGGACTCGAAGGTTCCTGTCACCGATGCCGTGGAGACCCGGTTGACAAATAAAGAGAAGTACTTGAAGTTGTTCAAGTTGAGAGAGGAGGGCGGCGACTATATTCAGGACGTAACGGAGATGACTCGGGTGCCCATCATCTTGAAGACGGATCTCAGCAAGAGCCCGCCGTAAGTGACACTGATGAAATGAGAATCATGTGTTTGAACAATCAATATGACTAACATTGTGTGCAATAGGTGTCTGACGATCCGCTCACTGAACCCATATGCTTTGTAAATGGAGAGGAGGAAGCTGGACAGGCCATAAGCCAGCCAAGTAACCAGATTGAACCAATAATACGCACAATCAAGTATGATGGGAGATGGAGAAGAGACGGGAGAGATAGCAGCCCAAAGGAAGTGTGGTGTAATTTTGTTGCGCTTTACGGAGGGTCCGTCGACAGCTACTGATGTGTGTGGTACATAACATGATACAAATAGTAGATGGGTGTCATTGAGCAGACAGGTAGCGTCACAAGGAGGAGAACAAGTATGGCAGCGTGGGGACAAAAGTGAAGTAGCAAAAGAAAGACATTTGGACATTTGCCTTGGGCGTATGGCTCAGCAAGCATCGAGGCCAAGCGTGACAAATTTATTATGCTTCACGTGAATGATTACCGGGAGACTGGAGAGGAAAGATAAACATGGCAAAGAGTAAGTCATCCGAGCGGGATCTGATTGTTGCGAACAGATGACACATATATTGGGGGAGGAATCGTGTGAAATGTAGATCACCTTTTGGGGAGTGCCAAGGTACGACGAGTTGAGATGAATGAATAAGGCGCCAGGCGTGTGTGCTGGCCGACGCCTCGTGTTGGGTGTACAGCATGATCGGCCGGAGAATCATGCGCGCTCTGGGGATGACAAATGAGATGCACAGGACAGTGATTGGTCCACGACAATCAATATGTACGTTGCCATTGACTGGGCCTTGTCCCAAGGCTCACTCGGAGGCTTCGGGCCTGGCAATGTGCACATGCGAGGGGTGACATGGAGAGCTGTGTGCTGTCTGGTGCGTTGTATGTACCTAGGTATGTAGTAAGCTGTCGGTGTGCTGTACAGAATGCTGCTGGCAGTAGTAACTACCTAGGTAAGTAGTTTGTAGCCCACACCAGTTGACATTGGAGGAGGCTAACGCTGGAGGGCTCGGGGGCCGGAGGTGTGTCACGACGGTTTCGGTTTCGGACGATGGACGGGCCGGCGACATTGGCCTGGCTCACGCACACTGCGCCGTGCACCAAGTTGCGCCTTTTTGCATCCTTCATCCACCCGGCCAGACCACATACCGAGCAGGGATGCGGCTTCCGTCGAAACGAAGCGTCTCTGTGTCTGTCCCGCAATGGACCCTACCTAGCTCTAGCAGCGGCACGGAAATCTCCTGGCCCGTTCGCTCCCAAGGCCAAACCGAGTTGCGTGGCAGACGTGTCCGTCCGGACTCTGGAGCCACGGACGACACAAGGCCGTGTTGAAACAAATGTCGAAATGCCCATCTTCGGCATCTCCAGGAGCCGCGAACAGACTATGCAATGCTGAAAGGGGCAAGTGACGGGTCGGGGCCCAAGAATTATAATAACATTTGGGTTCCCCGTGCCCATCACGTCTTATTTTCCGCTTCTTGTTTCCATCTATCGAGGCAGAGTAGTATACATTCACTTCCTTCGACCATCAAAACTTGTCCTGGCCGCCTGTGGTCTCTTGTTTGTCCACGTTCTTTTTCTGCTTCTTTTTGACGACAGCTGGCCTGACAATTTCGTATATACACTTAATATCTATTCATTCCCTGGCGGCTGGCCCCTACCGACGACATATTTTATAATATCATAGTACAATCCTTACACAAACTTCGAGACGATGCCTTCATTGAAAGTTGCCGCTTTGGCTTTATTAGCCGCCACGGGCTCGGCGTTGCCTGCCGCCCGCCGGGGTAATCTGGTTGTAAGACAGGCTCAAAATGGGACTGTCCCGACCACGGAAGTGCCTGAAACTGAATTGAACGATTTGGATATTTTGCAAATGTAAGCCCGCACCGTATTACTCCACCCTTGGACAGTCAAGTCGTCGTTGGGGCTAGAGGCTAATTCCGAATCTCTTGGTAGCGCCTTGACGCTGGAGCATCTTGAGGAAGCATACTACCGCGAGGGCTTCGCCAAATTCCCTGACTCAGACTTTGCCGCGCTTGGCCTCAAGTCAGAGCAGATCGAGGACCTCAAGAGAATCGGCCAGACGGAGCAAGAACACGTCTCGTTCCTCCAGTCCACACTGGCCCAAGCCGGCGTGCAGCCCGTGCAGCCATGCCAGTACGAATTCAACGTGAACGATGCCAAGGGCATGGCCACCCTGGGCGCGCTGTTCGAAAACGTCGGCGTGTCGGGCTACCTGGGGCTTGCGAAGCGCATCAAGGACCCTGCCATCCTGTCGGCCGCCGCGTCAATCGTCACCATCGAGTCGCGACACCAGAGCTCTCTGAGGGTGCTGCTCGGCCAGGTCGCCGTCCCGCAAGCCTTTGACGCGCCGCTCAGCCTCCGGTCCGTCTTCTCCATCGCCGCCCCGTTCATCAAGTCCTGCCCCCAGGGATCCAACCTCGCCGTCACCCCTTTCCCCGCGTTGACCATGGAGGCGGCACAATCAGGAGAGGCGAGCGCCATGAAGGTCGGATCTACCGTCCGCGTCGCCGCCGCGAGCGGTGGCTCTGCAGCTACGCACTGCGCCTTCACGTCCGGCGGCGTGGTTCCCGGCGGCACTGCCTTCACCCCGTTCTCTGAATCCGCGGGGTGCGAGATCCCCCAGGGCGTCGCGGGCGTGACGTACCTGTCGCTGTCGAGCAGCGCACCGCTGAATGGCGCCTTGACGGACGACATCACTGTTGCTGGACCCATGATTCTGGCCTTGTGAGAGCGGGATGAATGCGAGCACTTTTTTTAATTGGCTTCAAAAACATGAGAGAGAAATTCGGGCTGGCAGGCATCGTTCGAGTCAAGAGAGCAAATCTTCATGTTGCGAAAAAAAAAGTGCATTTTTCGCCGGCACTGCTTTGCGCAGGCTGTTAGCTCAAGCTGTCTATATATAGCTTGAGGGTATTCCCAAAATCTTTTTTCTTGCATTTAATTCTCTTTTTTTAGTAATACCATCCAGCGCGATTGAAAGTCGTGTCTTGGGCGTTTTTTTTTTCCCTAGCCAAAGTTGAAAAAAACGAAGAAATTCACTTTTCCACCGCGTATTCCCCTCTGTGCTTGTGTCGTGCAGGTGATTTGATTGTCGTTTTGAAGCAAGCTTAACTTAAGCCCCTTGCCCCTGCGAGGGTTCTGGGCGCCACGATTTGTGTCAGGGAGAAGAGTTCTGAAACGGGGGTTCGGGGGCTTGCGGTTTTGCCTTTTTGTGGAACTAGGGGAATTTCCCTTCTCAGCTAGGTTGGTAATGGATAGAATGGTAGTTCGTCTTGGTGTTTATTTATTTGCATTTGACAATTCGGCGTGGGTTGTGTCCTGCCATGCCATGCCATGCCATGGGGGCGTCGAAAAGAGGCGGGAATAACAATGCATGAATAAAATAAGCAAAAGAGAGACAAGAGAGGTTGAACAAGAACAAGAAGATTGAATTTGGTCGTTCCAGTGACGGATGGCACGTTGGCCGACCAAACTACGCCAAGTCGTATGGCGGATGGCACTTGTCAACGCTCCGTGGCATCTTCACGATGGCACTGGTAACTGAATTGCTACATCTCTTTGAAAAAGAAGTTTGAGCAGCATCGCACGATGGATGGCAAGATGCCTCACTGGCTTGCGAATTCTCCCGGCAAACAGTTCCGTAGTATATCCAACCACCAGGGTGCCATGGCAGCAAAGTAAGGAGTCACAATCAACAACAGACCCTATGGGTAGACGACTCTACGCATTGGTATTGGCAGAATAACAGCCACGCCGTCTTCAGAGTTGTATAAGCCACCTGCCTTGCCGTTACACCCGTCCATGTCCACTTGCTGCCGTTAGCCAGGCACCCTCAACCGTTGCCAACGCCACCGTGGACACGGGGCTTGATATTACAACCTTGGAGCATTGGAACACCAAATGGCCGTGTATCAGCGGCAACTGCCGGATCCAGCCGAACACGATTGATGCAAATGTCGACCGAGCCCAGCGCGGTTGACGCCACCGCCTCAGGGCAACACGAGAAACCACCATGAGCACTCCGTCATGGACGGACGTGCATGGCTCCCGTGGTCGACATGTCGAATTGTTGCACTTTGAATCCGGACGTGAGATATCTTATCCAGCTTCTCGGCATGCCGCCTGCCATTCGTCCGTTGTCGATCTAGACATGGACGACGCAAGTCAACCGTGAATCCTGCCGCCACCACGAGCAATACGTACGTTACCACCATGAAATAAACTACACCTCCCCGCAAGGCGTTTGAATCATGTCTAAAATGGCAGAATCGGCCGCGGGACGACTCGACGCGCCGACCTCATGGCTTTGTCCCGAAGCCGGAGGCGCATATAAGTCGTCAACGGCATCATGGAAAACCAGCACTTTGCCATCCAGCCCAAAGGAACCGTACAAAGTTTAAAAACCAGACACAAACACTAACACTAAATCTTCCGTCTCTTGAAAAGACAAGAATGAAAATGCTCCTCGCCCAAGTCCTCATCCCCCCCCTACTTTTCGCCACGGCCCTCGCCGCTCCCGGCAACACCCCCCACGAACGCGACAACACAGACGGCAGCATCGTCTTCCCCGGCGGCAACGGCTACGCCGGCTGGGCCATCTGCGGGGACCAAGTCAGCAAGCAGCGCTTCCCGAGGCTGCAGGTGCCGGCGGGCGCGGGCGGCGGCTGCGTCCGGTACTACCGGGGCATCGACATGACGGGCGTCGTGACGGAGCTGCACTTCTTCTTCCGGGACGGCTTCCGGACCGCCTGCGACTGCGCGGCGAAGTGCCTCTCGCAGCCGGCCAGCTGCAACAACTGGGTCTGGAAGCACACCTTCATGCCCGGCGACGGCGGCCGGCGGTCTTGCACGCTGTACAGCAGCCCCAACCTGCCGAGCAACGTGACGCTCGACTACGACGAGGCCAAGAGCAGCGGGTTCCAGCCGCTGAGCGACGCGAATAACCCGCAGGTGGGCGGGGACTCGCCGCTGACCTTCCTCGACGACGCTGGCACCAAGCCGGATCCTGATGGCGTGTCTGGGTTTACTGCCATTGACCAGAACGGCGGGCTGTATTGCTGAGTCTGCCGAGTGGGTGCTGTTGTGTTGCCATCTGGATGAGATTTCTTTTAGTTTCTTTGACGAAAAGGGGGGAGAGAAGGGCATGGCGACTATCAGGTTGACTTTGCTCGTGAGGAATCAGGATATATGGTCCGCCGTCAGGACGGGGTAGTTTGGATTTCCGCAAAAGTACGTGGCATAACATAATTTGAAACGATTCGAACTGCAGCTGTGAGAGCAGTCAGCTTGTTATTTTCTTTAAATCCGCGTGGGGGCGCATTTGTACATGGCCAAGTTGACTCCATCCCATTTTGAATACAACACGGCACCGTGTCGGCCGGGAAGAACCCATCCACGGGTACAACATAGAATAGCAAATCAACATGGTGAAACAACCAGTTGTAGAATCCACATTATCAGAGCGCAATATCCCTTTTTGCCGGGCGCAGTTCAAGTTGCACGACAAACATGTCTCGCACAAGCAACAACTCAGACTATTCCCAAGCTCAACCCAGCAACGACTCAAGAGAGCCAATCATTTCACGAGCCAACTCCATAACCACATCTCTCCAGTTCCCTCATACAGACAACTCCAACCACCGCCATCTACCACTCACGAACCAATACCTTGCACTCCTCACACTTCCCCGAGCAGAAACAAACAAACAGCAAAAAGCAAAAAGCATCCTCAGCTTCTCCCCACCATCCCGTCGCCACACGTATCAGAAAACAGCCCAAATCTGCAGCGCATCGACCAACAACCCTCAAAGTACCAGACCAAGGCGCTTCAGCCACCAACACGCCCATCAGACCAGGAAAAGAAAGACAATCAGCCGTCTTCAAACTAAAAGCACCGACCAGAGAAAGCCCACTGCTACCCGCGTTGGCCGCATCTTCAAATTACTACACCCACCAAAGACACTTACACAGACCATGTCCTCCAACAACCCGCATCCTTTCGCCCCTTTCTGTATTTTTTCTCTCTCTTTCGTTTCCCCCCTCTCCCTCGCCTAATTCCCCCCAAAGCCCCCTCATGATGCCATCGTCCCAACTACCCAACATACCATAATCAAAAACAACCTCCAAACCACCATGGCCACCGGCAGCGAGGACGACCCGACGCCGACGCCCACGTCCACGTCCACGGTCAAACCCGGGCTCACGCTCAACCTCGGCCCCCTGACAACGACATTCGTGCCCCCAGAGAACTGCGACGCCCTCACGCTCGGCATGTACGAAGACCTACCACAGACGACGGAGACGTCGACCCTCGTCCGTTGGAACCGCGGGTACGAGTGCCCGACCACGTACCACGGCACCCTCCATCTCATCTCGTCGTGCTACCCGCAGCGCTACGGCCCCGCGTACGACAACATCAAGGACTGGATGGGCCCCAACGCCGTGTGGCCCTTCTACTCCCCGGGGCTCCTCTGCCCGTCGGGCTACGCGACCGGCTGCACCATGGTCTACAGCCCCCCCGGGGCCACCGAGTCGCTCCCGACCGCCTACCCGACCGCCTTCCCGACCTCGACGTCGTACGCCACCGTGTCGACGTGGAGCCTCCTGTCCAAGGGGCAGACAGGGTACGGCTGCTGTCCAATGTGAGTCCCGTTTGCCAGAGTTCAACAAATCCCAAGAGTACAGACGGGAAAAAGGGGAAAAAAGGGGGAGGGGAGCTCACATGGTGCAGCGGCTACCGGTGCTACGCCCCGTACACGTGTATTTCGACGCCGTCGCTCTCGGCCACCATGACCGGAGACATGACCCAGGGCTGTGCGGAAACACCCATAAAGACCCGAACAACCAGCACCTTTGTCATATCCAGCAAGATGTGGCCGTTTGTCTACGCGCCGCAGGTGGTTCTCATCCAGGGAAACGATACCAGCACCACCATCGGCGCCGCCGCATCGAGCCCGTCCGGCCCGTCAACAACCTCGAGCGCGTCTCGCGACGGCGACGCGCAGGCCGGCCTGAGCACCGCGGCAAAGGCGGCCATCGGAACCGCCGTCCCCCTCATCTTCATCGCCCTAGCGCTGGCGGCATTTATATTCTACCGCCGAAGGAACCGCAGCAAGACCCGAGCCGAGGCGGCATCCGAGCAGGGGAGCGGCTTTCCGGGTATGAATAAGCCCGAGTTGGATGCGACGCCCTCCCCCTTTGCACTCTCGCTTGGCCCGGGAAGCGAACTGGACGGGACGCCTCGCCCTTCACCCCCCGGTGACGATTCCACCGCAGCGGGGGGTCGAGTGTCTGAGCTGCCGGGGCCGGGCGTCGCGAGGTTCGTGGGGCCCATGTGTGAGTTGCCGGGCGATGAGAAATTTGCCAGGAGACCAGCACAGCCGAAAGGGTCGGATGGGGTTGCTGCTGATGATGAAGGAGGCAAGATTGGGCACGGTGCTTCCATAAACGGCGCATCTGAACCAAAGGCATACGATGCCAAGGACATGGATGCTGAAAAGAGCAGTAGGGGTGGAAAAGACAAGTGATTCTTGTCTCCCCGCCAGCTATATATAGACGGAATGGAGAGTGCATGGTACAGAGTTGAGGAGTGTTTCCTCACGTACTGGGTATGCATGATGAAGAGTATAGCGGGGAAATCTTGTACATCAATTTTCCTTTTACGCGCGACTGAATTAGCCAATGAATCTTGTCAATACCATGTAGTGTTTCATACCTCAAGACGTAGATTGCATCGCAACCTACCAGACCAGACACAGTGTCACACACGCGCACGTATCTTAAGAAAAAGTATTTTGGTTCTTTAGGGCTGACATGGTATAATCGACTGCAAACAGTCCTATCAAATATTGCCCTGACTTCCACACCACAGCGCTTCGTCGCTCCCTTCACATGCCATCATTGAAGCCCATGTCGGCTTACATCTGCTGATTCCTGTACCAAGCGTCGTACACACTTCCGCCATGCCGCTTGGCTGTGTTTTTCGACACTGCTTCTCAACTTCCCTCGCGATAGGTCTCCTTGCTGCCAAGGCCATCCTTTCTGTACAATGCAACTTCATCCTAGCGAGAGACTCTTGTTCAGCTCCCTCACATTGTCGCCTAGCTCAGTGGTGTTGCATAAGCCACTGGATAAATGTCTCGAGTACTTTTGTGTCCAATGGGCTGGACATCATATTCGGAAAACATGAAAATGATGATGTTTCGCTGTTTGGATAACCATGACTCTAAATGTAAAATCCATGCGCCTTGCAATAGTAGCAATAACCATGTCTCAAACGACATTGGATGTCGACAATGTGTGGTGATCAAAGCTCGATCAGAAAGGTCGAGCATCCATGTAGGCTTGAGCGTTGCTCCAAGCTGTTCTATCCGCCGCAGGCAACTCGTCGGTGCCAAGAGTCTGCATGCCTTGATTCAGAGCATTGAAGAAATCCACACAGATCCGGAAGTCATCCGTCAAGGCCTCAGCAAACGGCACAAAAGTCTTTGGGAACTCCTCCAATCGTTCATTTCGCTTCTCCTTGCTATGAGAAGCGTCATCCTCGTCAAAGAACGTCCGCACAGCAATTCCCAATCCGATGTCCGGCTCTTGCAGAAATGGGAGCCTAGAGAAGCGCAGTCAGTAACTGTACAAGTTAGAGAATCTCAGGGGCCGCTTGTTCTACCTTTGACTTATCTCTAGATAGTCCTCTCTATCTCTCCTACTCTGTCCATAGATGAACATGGACGCCACGATAGCTTCTATCAGATCGCGATCCACCTCGCGAACGGCCGATGACTGAGAGCGGAATGCCAACAGACTCTTGTTAAGAGGCCCTGTGTAGCCATACACTTGGTGGCGCAACTTCAACAGTGTTGCACATTGGCTAATCAGCACCAAGCTAGTTTTGTCTTCGTCGGTTCCCCTGCGAGGCAAGCCGGCAATATTTTCTTGATGCTTGGCTCCCAGTATGCCATGTCGAACCAACTCAAAAGCAAGCAGGGCCGCCTCATCAAGTCCAGGGACCTCCTCGGGGCGATTCTCGGCGGCATCTTTGAGAGCCAACAAGGTGGTCGCCAATGCATTCCCCCATTTGGTCAGCGTATGGGAGTCGCTGACATAGCCCCTCAGGTGAAGAAATCGCCAAATGGAAACAGATGTGACCATTTCCAAGCTATCGATTCCTCTGATTTTGCTTTCCTTGGCAATAGTCTTTGCGACGAACTCGGAGTTAGCGAGGGCCAGGACTTCCAGATAGATGGGGCCTGCAAAACCAGCGGGGAAGACACTGCGTATATCGCTCTCCTTAACATCCCAAGAACCAACCTGTTGCGAAGGAGGCGGCTGCTGTGCACGATGATTAATTGTGTGGGAGAACTTTGGATCGAACCAAACACGCAAAGTGATGTCTTTGTGTCCAATACCACGATGGACGCGAGGGATTATTAGGCCAAGAGCCTGTTCCTTAATTGGGACCAGCTTCGTGGTGATGAGTTTCTTGTACTCGTCAGACACAACGCCGTCCAAGGTTGGCTGCACTACGATCTGACCATGCGTTATACTGTTCAGATTGCGTGCGCCAATGAGTCCCGTGTTGAGATAATGGAAGAGCTCCTCAGGCAGCTGGAGGCCGAGGTATTCGTGGTTATCCTTGGTGAGACGCTCGAAGTCGTTGACAACGACCTCACCGTTTTCGGCAATGTAAATAAAGTGATGAACAGCCAGCCGTGCCTTCCTGTACTTGTCCAGCCAGTTGGCATCTTGAGCTTGCAGGATGTCGTTGAAGGAGGCGCAGGCACTGGCCACAGCCTTGTCAGAGGTCCTTAGCATATTGACGGCGTCCATTATGGTGAATTGATTGGTGTACATCGAGGTATCCAGCAAAGGGGGAAACGTGGGAAGAAAGGAGGTTCCAGTCATGAGCAAGGCGTCAATGAACATGGGCTCCGTTACACTAAGTATGCGCATTATCTTCTTCTTGGAAATGGCCGTGACCTTGTTTGCTTCAAAATCGAGAGAGCGAATAATGACATCCCTGATGGGGTAGAGAAGCAGTTCTTGAGGGCCCATGACGCCGGCAC